TCAAGACAGTCTCAATCTTAATTTTGTAAGCTACAAAGAGGCCAGTTTGGCAATTTAAGGGATGCCTCTATTCCTTCTCAGGGCTGTCGATGGATTTGTCCATTGGACTGACGTCATCGCTAGGCCAAAGCCCGCCGTGTGTTTGGCTTCGTTCGTAGTAACCTACAAAGTTCCGCGAAGTGACGGCTTGATGAGAGGGGAGACGATTTAAAGTTACGAGCCGGCGCGATAACAAACGTGAAGGAATGAGGCTCTGTCGCGACAAATAAACAGCAGTGAATCCCATTTCTCTATTTGAGCGTCTTCAAATCGGCAAGGTGCTTTTTGAATGTTGATACATGTTTGTTTGGATTTACTTAAATCTGAATGAAAATCATCATCAGCAATAAATCTCCTGTCAACAGTCCAGCTGAAAAAAATCTGACCGGCACCGCCGGTCTTGCCCAGTTGACAAACCGCCCCTGCTTGGTGGTCTAAAATCGATAAGAGTAGGCTTCGGCCGCCACCCGGGCAAAATTCGAAATTTCCTACCAACTGAAAATATTAGGTGTGTCCCGCGCGCTCATATGACCTATGCAGTTGCGAGCACCGTAAAACACTTTACAAAAACAAAACCAAAAACATCAACACTTTAAAAGAATGAATGTATTAATTTTTTTCTCGTTAAGTAAGATCTTAGAAACGCTTAATAATTGCATAGACATGGAAAGACAAATTACAGAATTTGATGTACATGTATACCAAACTGTCTAAGATGGCGGTCATTTTAGCGTCTTACTCAGTGTCATTATGGGGAGAATTTTTATCGAGTATCTTAGCTTGTTCTGCTGGGAAACTCTATCCGTCTCAGACAGTGTTTGCCTTCCTGAGGAGGATCAGAAGCCCGCTTCCTAAAAGATCTAAAAGGTGTCAGTCGGGGAGTAAAAACACGTTGTTATAAAAACATGCACACACACACACACACCATCATATGCGCACATTTCTTTGTCGCACACACATGCGCTATCTCATCGAACCTCTTTCTCTCTCTTTCTCTCTCTTTCTCTCTCTCTCTCTCTCTCTCTCTCTCTCTCTCTCTCTCTTTCTCTCTCTATCGATCTACCTAGTACACACATACACACACACACACACACACATACACACACACACACACACACAAGTACACACACACACACACACTCAAAGACACATACACAAACACAACCACACGCACACACATAAACACAAACATACACATACTCAAATGCACACATAAACACACATACACATATTAACACAAGCATAAACATACAAACAGACGCACACATACGCACATAATATTCTCTCTCTCTCTCTCTCTCTCTCTCACTCTCTCTCTCTCTCTCTCTCACTCTCTCCCTTTCTCTCGCTCTGTCACACACACACACACACACGCACACAGAAACACACAATCACACGCACACACACAGACACACACACACACAATCACACGCACACACACAGACACACACACACACACAAAATCACACGCACACACACACACAAACACACACACACACAAAGACAATCACACGCACATATACACGCACACACACAGAGGCACACACACAGACACAGACACACACACAGAGGCACACACACAGACACAGACACACACACACACAATCACACACACACAATCACACACACAATCACACACACACACACAACCATACACACACACACACACACTCACACACACACACACACACAC